TGCCGCTGCTATGACCCCCGAGCAGTGGGAGTCGGACATTAGAGAGGCACAAAAAGCTCATATCGATGGCTTTGCACTGAACATTGCTCCCCAGGACAGCTACACCGATGATGTCCTCGAGAAAGCGTACTCTGCAGCGGAGAGCGTCAGGAATTTCTCCCTCTTCCTGTCTTTTGACTATGGATCCGGAGGCCCATGGCCGGCCGATCGGGTGATCACAACGATCAACACCTACCGGAACCGAAGTGCCCAATATCACTATCAGGGGAAGCCGCTAGTATCGACATTTATAGGGGCTGATAATGCAGGCGACTGGCCGTACATCAAAGGTTCCGCTGATTGCTTCTTTATGCCATCCTGGCCCGATATGGGGCCGGCAAGACTCAGGGATTACCTGGATATCATTGACGGTGCTTTCAGCTGGGATGCCTGGCCGGTGGGGGCACAGAACAAAAACGTGACGAGCGATCGCGAATGGATGCACGCCCTTTCCGGGAAGCCGTACATGATGCCTGTCTCTCCCTGGTTCTACACCAATTTGCCCCAGTGGAACAAGAATTGGCTATGGCGCGGGGACGATTTGTGGCATATACGGTGGGAGCAAGTCATGAATCTGCAGCCGGCCTTTGTCCAGGTAAGGTGATTCTCGGATGGTGCTGGGCACCGCTGACCATGATTAGATCATCAGTTGGAATGATTACGGCGAATCCCACTATATAGGACCGATCTACGAACCCGGGATGCCTGACGGATCTTCCAAGTACGTCTTGGATTGCCCGCACGATGCGTGGCGAGCTCTGCTGCCTCACTACATCGCCGCCTATCGAGGGTCCGGGATGAATAGTATGTACCAGGCGGATCAGACACTGCCTTTGGAGGATAAGATGGTTTATTGGTATCGCTTAAATCCGAGTTATGCTGGGAGTGCCAACGGCACGACGGGCAATGATCCTAATGTGGGCCAGGAGGTGATGCCACCGAATGAACTTGCCCAGGACCGAGTATTCGTCAGTGCTGCTGTTAACGATGCCTGTGAGGTATACGTCCAGATCGGATATTGCGAACCTACAATTCTTCAGGCGTCAGGTCCAGGAATCCATCACTTTTCGGTGCCGTTCAACGGGCAAACGGGGCCGGTGCGGATAGTGATGGTCCGGGATGGCTATGAGGTTGCAGTTGCCGTTGGACCAGCGATCACGGATGACTGCAAGGATGGCAATGTAAATTGGAACGCCTATGTGGGAACGAGCGACTAAACCGAAACTATGAGACTAGATAGATGGAGATAGGAGATAGTGGTTCATCCTCGGCTCGGGCCAAGTGGGACGCAGCTTATCAGTGACGCAGCTCCCGACCAACTTGGCTGGTAAAAAGATTCTGGGAGCTATACACGCCCCGTTTTACTGTGAATCTTAAGCGATTGCTGTTGTGACTATTCCAATATACACCAATGACCGTAGACTTTTCTTCGTTTACAATGAAGCCCACTTTTGCCTTCGCCCGACGGAGCTCCGGGCCTCAGCAACCAAACTGGTCACGGCGCTTATCGGAATGATCGTCGAAGCTCCGCTCAGCTGACCTCGTCCCTTCTCCGCTCTTCTCCAATTCCCTCCCTCTCCTCATCCTCTTCCTCCTCAATTGCCCACTTGACTATTCCACTACTTCATCTACCACATTTACTACTTTTCCTACAGCTCCATGGCCAAGAAGAACATCATGGGCCTCCGTGAGGCCGCCATGGCCTATCGTCCCAGCTCGTCCGGCCACCTCCCCGACCCGGTCCAGGACTACTCTCCAGTCTCTCCTGCTCCCACTGCGCAACCTACCGCGGGACCGGGGTCCGTTAACCCAGATGACTATGCGAAACCTTACTGCGAGTTTATGACGGCGAACCCGACCATATTCCATGCTGTTGACGGCTTCACCAAACAGCTGGAAAGCAAAGGTTACAAGCGCCTGCCCGAGCGCGAAGCGTGGACCTCCAAGCTTGAACGCGGCGGGAAATACTACTGCACTCGAAACTCCAGCGCGTTTATCGCGTTCTCCATTGGCAAGGATTACAAGAGTGGAAACGGTATGGCTATCGTGGCCGGTCACATTGACGCCCTCACCGCCAAGTTGAAGCCCGTGTCCAAGCTCCCCACAAAGGCCGGCTTTCAGCAGCTCGGGGTTGCCCCATATGCTGGTGCTCTGAATGAGACCTGGTGGGATCGGGATCTATCTATTGGTGGCCGTGTTTTGGTCCGGGACCCTAGCAGCGGAAAGGTCGAGCCCAAGTTGGTCAAGCTGGACTGGCCGATCGCCCGTATTCCCACCCTTGCACCGCACTTCGGCGCGCCGTCCCAGGGCCCCTTCAACAAGGAGACGCAGATGGTACCTGTGATTGGCGTGGACAACTCCGACCTCTTCCAGCAGCAAACGTCGTCCACTACAAGCCCCTTCGCGGCGGGCTCATTTGCCTCTACGCAGCCGGAGAAGCTCGTCAAGGTCATCTCCAAGGAATTGGGCATTACGGACTACAACACCATTCTCAACTGGGAACTGGAACTCTATGACAGTCAGCCAGCGCAGCTGGGTGGTCTGGAGAAGGACCTGATCTTTGCGGGGCGGATTGATGACAAGCTATGCTGCTACGCGGCTCAGGAGGCTCTGATCGCCTCACCAGACAGCACATCCCCCGGATCTGTGAAGATGGTCGGTATGTTTGACGACGAGGAGATTGGCAGTTTGCTCCGCCAGGGTGCTCGGTCCAACTTTATGAGCAGCGTGATGGAGCGCATCGCCGAGGCCTTCGCTCCGAGCTATGGACCCAACGTACTGGCGCAGACTGTGGCCAACAGCTTCTTCGTCTCCTCGGACGTCATTCATGCCGTAAACCCCAACTTCCTCAACGTGTACCTGGAGAACCACGCCCCGCGCCTGAACGTCGGCGTGTCCGTCTCCGCCGACTCGAACGGACACATGACGACGGACAGTGTGAGCCATGCTTTCATGAAGCGTGTCGCTGAGCGCTGCGGCTCAACCCTGCAGGTCTTCCAGATCCGCAATGATTCCCGCAGCGGCGGCACTATCGGGCCCATGACCAGCTCCCGGATTGGCATGCGGGCGATCGATGTGGGCATTCCTCAGCTCAGTATGCATAGTATCCGGGCGACAACGGGCAGTCGGGACCCTGGTCTGGGAGTGCAGCTGTTCAAGGGTTTCTTCGACTACTTTGAGGAGATTGACAAGGAGTTTGCTGACTTTTAGACATGTTGTACTTTGATGATAGTCTAGATATAGATTCCCAATGCTATGTGTAGTACTCCGAAGTTCCTTACGTTGATTGGGCCTAGCATACTCGCGGGCTTTTGAGGTTGCATTCAAGTATTGACTTTCATGCTGGGAGAGGACAAAGAATCGAGACTGGGCTGTCCTGCATATTCAAGTCCAATATGTAGCTTTCACCTCGATATCCATACCAAATAGAGAACCTCCAGCACCGACCATATGAATCCAACCCCAAAATAATCAGCAAAGCATCGCCCCAATCAAATAAGAAGAAGTAGCTCTACCACGAGACCGAAGTACTCTAAAAAGTTATAGCCAAATAGATCCAAATGCCATGTCCATAGTACGACCCATATTCTGCCCCCCTCCCCCAAATGGAGTTCTGCCGCTTGGAGCGGTATGTGGGGCGGTCTGGGTGGGCAGTATGTGGATGGGCGATTGTATGGAGCAATATGGTATTCGGGTTTTGCTGCATAGTTTATAGTCATCACGATATCTTCTCTGACATGACTGACTGACGTTGGAGAAATCTGGGCGGACTTTGGTCTATATGAAGTTGAAGGATGGATACATCTTATCTTTCGATCACCATGTTCTCCGCTTCCTCGACGGTCTACGGTGTGAACAAATTCAGGGCTGCTAGTAGAAGTAAGTGTGATGGTTCTTCAGAGGGTGGAAGACTATCGCAAGAATTGTATATCAAGCCGCTAACTAGTAGACTCAAGTTCATTGTATATTGGCAAAGGTGCTGGTTCTTTATTTCAAATGGAAGTAGAAATCGTATGAGTTGTATGAAACGAATGTTAAGACATCTAGCGAACAAAGAATTTGATTGATGAAACCGTATACGCTTTGTACTCAAGCGGCAGGCTCTGATAGATGTGATTCCTTTGAACTTATGGAATGTTCCGTGGATCGGAATATCCCACAAAAGGAGTCTAAATGGGATTTATCTAGCCTTTCATGCTTATAGCTAAGTCTTTGCACTCCCTCTTAAATGGATCATGCTACCGGGATTTACCGTTAAGGTCCAATTGAAATATAGTCGACAAGATCTTATAAGAGGTCAGTTACACTGACCGCAGATCTACAGGGGGTTCGAGCCCCCCTTCTAAGGCATATATTTGCTTCACTGGTATTATTACTATATCTACATCCCCGAGATATTATTAGTAAGAGGATGGATCTGAAGAAAACTCTTGATACCTCGAGACTAAGATGGTAGTAAATGTTTCAACAGATGTGCGATATACGATGTGGGAAATTCCAGCACAGCTGCAATCTATCTTTCACAATAATATCCAGTTAACTTTCCAGGATAAAGGTTCAACTGAAGCATGCCTGGTAACTTCAAGACAAAGCAAACAAAGGCATGATATACACTCCTCTCCGTCCATCCGGAAAGCCCCGAATTGGAGGGTTGCGCATTTCGCTACAGCCCAGCTAAAGCGCCCTAATACTATTGAGCCTTATGCAATCGGCAACTGACAGTGAAGTCCTCTTTGCATAACATCTCTATTATGTTGCAGAACAAGGAGTGACCCTATAAGTGTCCTCCACCAGGTAGAAGATATCCTCATTAAGCTCCATGTCGCTTATTCGCACAAGGTTTGGCTTCAACAATCACCATGGTCAGACATGCAACTCCAATGATTTATATTCCTGTCAACCTACCTTTGAGGACACATTCTTGTCCTACAGCGACACTGCCTTACTTGCATCAAACCAAAATGTCTGGATACCAATACGCAGGTCAGGAGGTGAACTACCAACTGATCGCAGATATAGTACAACTCCTTGAAGAGAACGGTATACCATGTCTCCTAATTGGCGACTACATGTCTGAAGCCCTGGGAGCGCCTGGGCTCCGCGGCGTTAGTCAACTGCCTGATCTCATCTTTACTAGTTACAACCGACTAACCAAGCCTAACAGAACATCGAACTCGTCCTCGAAAGCCATGATATACACAGAGCAATCCGCATCCTCCGCAAAGCCAACTTTCCCGATGAGCAACCCATGTACTACACCCATCTGCTCTGTCCCTTTCCCCACATGGGACAAAGGACCTGTTCAGCCCGCGAAACGCCTTTCATCCCCTACCACTCATTCCACCTAAACGGGATTGTCTGGGGAGAAATGAACACAGTATTTCACATTGATCTCTGTCTATACGAGAAGCGATATCTCTTCTGGGACCTGCCTGAGCTCACTCTAGGAGAACTGTTCGAAGATGATCCGCATTTCATCCTCGCCAGTAATCCCCGTCTCCCTCCCCAGAAGGACAAGCAGCATTGGGGCCGGTTCCCTGATACCCTGTACCCGGTTAAGATGCCCATGCCGGTGCGATATATCGAGGCGATGATGCTTCTCACTGCCCGGGACTGGCAGATCAAGGGACATGGGTGGGCGTGGCGGGCCGAGATAGTGTATATGTGGAAGCACGTAAAAAAAGGCGTGCTAAAGGAGTTCTTTGAGTTGGATAGGTTCAAGCCGATATTTCGGTTCTGGTGGGCGGATTTGGAGACTTCGGAGACAATGCCCGGTGGAGAGGTGCTGTGTGTGCATCATCTGAGGGGGCAGTTGGTGGCGGCGGGTATGATGCCTGAGACGCCGCTTACTTGGTTGAAGACGTATGATTGATTCGGTAGTGATTGCTTGTCATATATAGTACTTGGTGTATACATAGTTTTGATGTGAATTTGATGAGAGTACAAGTTGGAGCATTCTACCTTTCATGAGTGAGAGCAGTGAGTCAGCAAAACGGCTTGTGCTTGCTCTACTTACTGCAGAGTAACACATTGAGCTGGTTAAAGCTCCAAGCCAAGTAGAGCTGCTAGTGTAGCAAAGGATTACTCCAAGGCAAGGGAGTGACACGGGAAATCCTCTCCTACCAACAGACTTACTTGGTTGTCTCATGATCACTATTCCCTCCACTCCTCTCCATGATATCTCCTCTTCAACATGGAAGAATTAACAACACCATATCTGCAATATACCGAATAGGACCACCAGTGAGTAGCACATACTCCATCTAGTAGAAATCAGATTATAAATAGCCATCTCATCACCACAATCTTGACACTGGAGACCATTCTCTAACTGTGGCGCAATCGGTGGGTAGACATGGAAGGGCTCAGCTGCGATGGCGACAATACATTCTGCGATAATCTAGATATTCAAGTCACGCCAGGCCGTCATGAGGGCTTCACTAGTCTGTATCCTGAAGAGACGTGGTCTCACACTTATCAGTACGAATTGCTCACGGACATTGAGAGCTGAGATAGTGGAAAGGCTGATTCGGTGATAACATAGGGTTGAACATAGCAAGACAGCAGATTATGTAACTAACTCAACCTTAAATACGAACGGTAATCAAAGCAAGGCATGAATCCTACTACACTAGACGATACGACCAACAGGAAGTAGTCGAATAGAATAGATTATTTCCCCAAGAAGGCAATTGATTGCCTCCATTCATGACATACGTCATACGCGAGTCCGAGACTATAATAATCCACCACTATACATTATAGATAAGGCCCAAGCGTAAGCCCTCATTCCCACCCCACCTTCTATATGTCCTCTTCTCTATAGCACAATAGCGCCGATTACCCGGTCTGCTTACTGCTTACTGCCTACTGCTTACTTACTTTCCATCCCACACAACCAACCGATCGATCGACAGAAGGAAGTAATTCAGCGATGCAATGCATACAGACAACACCACTCATGACATAAATCAATATCCCAAAAAAATTCTATATACAGTTCACCATCACATGCTCCGTTACCAAGATCACCAGACCCCTGAGAGCCAAAAGTAAAAGGAAACCAGACTAACACGAAAATCGGCTCTCGGAACCCGGTCGGCCCAGCCTATAATCGACTGGTATTGTTAACACCCCCGAAATCCTCCTCTTATCCGACTGGAGGAGCATTAGACTACTTTCTAGGCGTCCAACTAGCTTCCTTCCTGCATTACCGGGACCAATCATTTCATAGTTTGGATATTGAGTGAGGGGGCTTGTGTGGGATACTAACTGGTTTGTTAGTAGGTGTTATGATGGTAGTAGTAGAACAGGTAGTAGGTAGTGGTAGGGCAGGCAAGGTACACCGACGTTGTCCGTTGGTGATTGCTTGTCTCGTGTTACTTGTTTGGATGACGTTCTCTCTGCGTGTCTTTGGGGTTATAAATAGGGTGTCGAATATCTGGGAGATAGGTCATTCTTTCTCAATCAATCAATCAAGAATTATTTTAGGATTTTTCTGTACTACATTAAATATGGTCGCCATCACTGCTAAATCTGAAGCAGCTTCTGCTACTTCGCCCATCCCTACCACCAATACTACCCTCAACGGGGTAGATGGTCCAAAAGAGAAAGAAAAAGACCTTCAACCCCAAGAAAAAGAGGAAGTAACAACAGCAGAGGAGAAAGATACCAAAGCATATAACTCCTCCAACGGCGTCACCAGCCAACTCTGCACTTGGATCGCCTCCCTCCAGCTAGAAGATATTCCAGACTCCGTCCGCACCCGCGCCAAGTACCTCTTTCTCGATGGCATCGCCTGCGCACTCGTCGGTGCGCGCGTCCCATGGTCGCAGAAGGCTTTTGATGCGATGGCTGTCTTCGAGGAGAAGGGGAAGCATGTGGTTATTGGGTATGAAGAGGTAGGCCTTCCTTTCTCCTAATTTTACTTTCCAGTACATATTGATATGTTACTAATCTATAATGACAGCGTCTCGGTGCCATCGCCGCGGCAACCCTCAACGGCTCCTGGATCCAAGCTTGCGAAGTAGATGACTACCACAGCGTGGCGCCCCTACACTCGCAAGCCGTGGTCATCCCTCCTCTCTTCGCGGCCGCCGTCAGTGCACGGGACCATCCGACTGCTCCGCGCATCATCGACGGGCGAGCCCTCCTTCTCGCCTCGGTGGTAGGGTTCGAAGTTGGTCCGCGCGTGGGCATGGCGCTGCACGGCACCGAGATGCTCGCGAAGGGATGGCACTGCGGGTCCGTATTTGGTGGACCCGCTGCCGCAGGCAGTTCCGCAAAACTACTCGGTTTGTCGGCGGGTCAAGTCGAAGACGCGATCGGAGTAGCAGCGACACAAGCATGCGGACTCATGGCGGCGCAGTACGACGGGATGGTGAAGCGGATGCATCATGGTTTCGCGGCAAGGAATGGGCTGTTGGGCACGATGTTAGCGTGGGGAGGATACGAAGGTATCAAGAAAGTGTTCGAGCGGCCGTATGGAGGTTTTCTGGCGATGTTTGGACTGGGATCGAAGCATACACCTAGTTCTAAGCCGGAGGAAGTGGCGAAGGATTTGGGGACGTTTTGGCATACGGCGGAGTGGATTCGGTTGAAGTTGCATGCGTGCTGTGGGGGAATTCATGGCACCATTGAGTGTTTGGCGGAGATGCAGGAGATGTATCCGGAGCGATTTGGACGGGATAAATTAGGGGAGATCAAGGAGATTCGGATCCAGCTGAGTGATGCGGTGTTTCATCATTGTGGATGGGCACCGGAGACGAGGCCGTTGACGCCGACGGGGGCGCAGATGAATACGGCGTTTGTGGCGGCGTCGCAGTTGGTGGATGGACAGGTGTTGTTGGAGCAGTTCTCGTCGGGAAAGTTGGATCGGGATGAGGTTTGGGAATTGATTGGAAAGACGAGTTGTGTGCATACGGCGGAGTTGGACAAGCCGAATATTGGGTGCGGTGCGTTGATCTCCATCACGTTTGCGGATGGTAGTCAGGTTCAGCATTCGTTGTTGAAGCCGAAGGGGGTGGATGAACCCATTTCGAATGAGGAGATCTTGGAGAAGTTTCGTCGGTTGACGGGCGGGTTGATTGGGGTGGAGAGGCAGGAGAAGATTGAAAAGGCTGTGCTGGGGATGGAGGAGTTGCAGGATGTGGATGAATTGATTGAGTTGCTGAGTGTGAATGTGGCCAATCCGTTGCAGTAGTGAACTAGTCATCTGTTTTGATTTGTAGGGGCGTTGGTTGTGATGGGATATTTCATTCATGAATTAACAAGTCATTCAACATGGTCAGGATCATACTTGTGAGCCAGTAGTCATTCTAAACTGTGTACAGAAAAGCGAAGAGTGCTGTAGGGTTATCTGTCTTCCATAGAAAAGAGTCTGTTGAAGACTACTCAAGTAATGCCTAGCATATAATTACAGAAAATCATTTAACACCACACATCATCGTATCTATGGTAGCTACCATGCCCATCCATCATCATTCCGAAATCATTACCCCAGACACTTGTGCCGCCATAGTCAACGCAATAGCTATTCGGTGTTGATGGTTTCTGTTCACAGCTTGATTCGGAACCATGCGGTGTTGTTGTTTGTGCTTGAAGACGCCGGTTCTGCTGAAGAATCGAAGTAACAATCTGACTACATAGCTGAGATATAGAGCGGATAGTTTCGGCATGAGAGCCTTCACAAGCGTTTGTAGCAAGACACTCTGCACGTTTGGCGAAGAAAACAAGGGCGTTGACGTCGGAAGTCACGACAGCTGGGCTGTCATTATCTTCGGGGTTGAGGAGATGGATGTAGATTTCGAGGAAGGGGACAATGGGGTAACGTAGCAGGATGCTGGCAAACAATCTGTATCAGTTCTCTGACTGGAAAAGTAATGAGGAGAACCATTTACCTTTCAAACATGGAGAAGCCGGAAATGCTGTCGCCCGGATGGTAGCTCTCACACAGTTCCTGAAGAAGCTGCAACCCCGTGCGAGCATGCTCAAGTCGAGCTTGGCGACTCTCCAAAGCAGGTATGCAGCGCTGCACTAACACATGGCAGATGCAGAGGGCGTATCGGAGTTCGATGGCCTGCTGTGCAGTAGTGGTGGTGCTGGCTGGGGGGTAGAGAATGTGACTGTGCTGGGTGGTCCAGTCGTTGAGGCGTCGAACAAGCTTATAGGCACGCCGCCTCAGGCATTTCCGACTGACGCGCGGAATACTGGCGTAAAGACTGCGAGAGATTCTTTCCTGAATCCGAGCGAGGGAGATGCGCGCATCGAATTGATCGCTGAGTAGCATGCCGGAGCTGGTGGGAAGCGGGAGACCAATGTCATAGGATGGCAAGAGGCATGGTGTGCCGATGATTAGGGATATGTGTTTCTTGTTCAATTAGCGGAGAACAGAAAAGGTGATGACGAACTCACATCTATAATGAAGAGAGACCAGAACAGATTCCGACCCTCAGCGCATGGCTTGCCCTTGCTCCGGTGTAATCCCATCGATTTGGCGAGCTCACAGGCTTGGGTAAAGAGTGCCTCGAACATAGTGAATTGCAAGTACTTGAGAGCAAACAAAGCCTGCATCAACCTTTAGTTGGGTTCATATAAATGTAGATCTGTCATACCAGGCTCAAGAGGGCTTGCACATTTGCCATACGCGGTTCTAGTAAGATTTGGAAATTGTTGAAGCATTGCCGGATGTTCTGCAATAGGTAAGTGATAAGGCCCGCTTCTAGAGGTATCATGCCTGTCTTCTTCGCTGCGGTGGACTTTCCTTCCAATGTCTGAAGGAGGATGCTGTTGAGCGATACAATCCAGGCTGGATCAGGAACGTCCATGGTTTCGTACTGAGTCCGCATGGCCGTCAGAACGCTCTGTCGGTCG